CTGGACTTGGCCTGGGTCTTGCAGTCTACCGATGCCGAATGACTTTCTGACAGTCCTTGATTGCTTATGATGTAAAAGAGCAGGTTGAGGACCAACTGGACCAGGCAGTGATCTGTCTAACACTCAGCATCTTGCATGACTTGGGTGATGGTGACGTCTTTAAGGTCACACTGACGTACTGTGATATACTCAAGTAGGTGCCAGTGTTTGGACCTGGGATGCATCCAGGTAGTTTTGTAGTTGTTTGCAAGTCTGAACATCGTGTTAGTGATGCACAGGTTGCACTCAGCACATTTGCTCAGAACCAGCAGGCATTGCTATTTCATTTTCCCAGCCCATGTCTCCCATAGACTCCATCCCAGTTGTCGCTGTCTGTCCCCACCCTAGCACTGAAGTTGCCCAGAATGACGAGTTTGTCACTGGTGGGGGTTGTTTGAATAATCTGGTTCAGGTCCTGATAGAAACCTTCCTTGTCTCTGACTGGACTCACAAGGGCTGGTGTGCAGTTGCTGACAATAGTGATATACTGGGACTTGCTGAGAGGAAAGCAGAAATGTGTTCATTTATTCCAGTGGGTAGGGAAGAGATGTTCTTCAGAAGAGCAGTTTTGATTGCAAAACCTCCATGAGTCTTCTTGTCAGTTCTGTGGCTTCCCTTTCCAAAATAATAAATATCCACTCGCTGCTTCCTGTAATGAACCCTCCTCCGCCAGCCTGGTCTCACTGAATGCAGCAATGTCAGTGCTGTAACGGCTGAGTTCAGCTGTTATGAGTGCTGTTTGTCTTTCAAGCCTTGACACCTTGTCTCTATCCAGCAAGCTGCAGACAATCCAGGGTCCGAAAACAAGTTTTCTTTGATTCGTTTTTCTTGATGCTCGACTGTTAAGATCTGCCAGCTGCAGTTAGCAGGACACATGTTGTGGGGCAGCAATGTTTAGGGTACCTTTTCTAACTTTCTCCCTCATGCGAGGATGGACAGTGCTATCCTAGAAGGGCTGCCCAGTCACCCTGGATGCCGCCAGACATCTCTGCTGACCTGGATACTGAGATGAATTACCACTGGTCCAAGGACCGCCCACGTGCAGGTTTGTGGCTGCAACTGCCAGTGGTCATCTCCACTGTTGCTCAACAAATTAGATTTGGACTGAGATGATTTGGAGTTGTAGATAAAGATGAACTGCACAACAGAAACCTGTGTGTGATGGAGTTTTACGTGGAACAGCCATTGCACAGAGGCAGTCCCTGTGATGGACTGGAATGGAGGAAGGGGGGTGAAAACGGTGCTCTCGTCTCCAGAGCAACCGACCGGCGTGAAAAGGGGGGAGAGGGCGGGTCCCCTAAAAACTC